GTGTGGTATCGATACCACGACTACAACATCCGTAGTGTGGTATCGATACCACGACTACAACATTCGTAGTGTGGTATCACAAAATCCCTAGTGTGGTATCGATACCACGACTACAAAATCCCTAGTGTGGTATCGATACCACGACTACAAAATTCGTAGTGTGGTATCGATACCACGACGACAAGATCCGTAGTGTGGTATCGATACTACGACTACAAGATCCCTAGTGTGGTATCGATACCACGACTACGAGCTCCATTCAAGTCCAATGAACTGTGAAATTGAGAGTATATTCGACGCAAAAGGACTCGATTAGACGCCATCGGAGTCCAAGCGATTCCGATTGACGCCCATCTGGTAGAATCTAGTCTATCGGACGAGATTGTCGACGAACGTACTCGAGTGGACTCCTATGCAGGAGAAAGAGATTTGAGTCCAGTGCAAACAACCATACGTTAACGCGGTAAAACCTGTCGGGGTGGACCAGTCTGCGCAGGCATTTAAAGAAATCATCACCAATACTGGTTCTTTCTTCAAATATTACACGTAGTAGTAGCACTGTAAAACATTTGTAAGGTTTGGGAAGCATTTATAGAATAAGGAAACTGTCTCAACTTCATGTGTGCGTTCGGCATCGAATAGAAAGTCAGTCATGCATAGTTTGATGTGGACTGACAAGGCTTGATTTGGGAAATGACAAATAATTTTCGACTTATCAATTACATAATCAACCAGTGAGTAATGGAATGATCTCCGGCCCGTCTCAACTTGCTCTCAACCACCACCTTCCCCAAACTGAAAATCAGCTGTCCACTATGAGTACTCGCTCCCACACCAACAAAACACCAGGGCTGGGCGAAGAATCACGCGGTGACTACTCTCTGTCTTGATGATCGTCAAGTTACTGAGTCTTGTCACAGAAACATCTCCAACCAGGGAAAGGTGGCGCCAAGCTGACCGCCACGATTACGAATCAAGCACTGGTAAACCTGATTCCTTTTAAACCATATTTCCCAGTGACAAAGGCCTCATAACCATCATACAGGGACGGAAGACCAGACGGAATATCAAAGCCAGACATATGAGTCCGCGGCAGCGCTGGAGGCTTCCAGTGCGATAGACCCACTGAAAATATTCAAGGATTTTGCTGCCGACGAAGGCAAGGGAAAGGGGCAGGCTAAGTCGTTTTCCGTCAACTCTTGTACTGATACCTGTTTACCTTACCTCTCTGATCATGTTACTAATTTCTAATTACCTAGTTATTCCTACCCATGACTTTTTACAGCTGCCTAAGTGGCAACCTACTGAGGAAGAAAAGATGACCTGCATCAAAGACCACCGTAAGGCCCAAGCCCTGCTGCAAACGAAGTCCTCTTACAATCTCAGTGCGTATATTGCCATATGTCTACTGTAGCAGTGTCTGAATTCACCGCTGTGTTTCACATGCAGACCTGGCGGCTGCAAGGCCACAGAAGGTAAACTCAATACATTCCAATTTGATCTCACTGCCAAGCTAACTACATCCATTGTTGAGACTGAGAAAGATGAAGCAGATAAGGAGCATCGGGAGCAACTTGTCCTTGAGCGTGTAGAAAAGGCCGAGAAAGGTACAGAATAGGTTCATCATTGATGTTGTGGTTGAATGTACTTGGAGTGCATGTAGAAACCAATCCAATGCTTTCTCTCCAGTGTCCCCCGTCTCAGTTCATGCTGACCCGGTTTATAGATCGAAAATGTCGACAAGTCAAACAAGGTCAGTCCAGTCGTGGTCAATGGGGTGTCACTGCGCAGGTGACTCAAATATGGTTTGCTGCAGCCAAACCAAGAGATAATCTGGAACGTTTGATGCCTGCCGGGCTAAAAAACACATACGCAAGTGGTACACACTCAGGTGTAATTGGAGTGGGCCAGGGTGAGTCCATCACAGCACATATCCTGTCTATACCATTTACTAACCTCGGAATACTAACGTAGCCCTAGACCCACATGAGTGGTTACAGACAGAACAGGCCGACACTCACGACGTTGATGCCCCCATAGTCTCGATTGCGCCAGCTATCCTTGGTCCCGTTCCATCTCGTGAAACCATGACCTATCAGAGCAGAGCCAAAGCTGATTATGATGGAAGCAGTGACGCCAGCATCACCGTGTTGCAGACCAGGCTTCAAGCCTTCCACATTGCAGA